AAAAATAATTTTTTTTTATATACATTCTTGAAAGTGACTGACTGTTCATGTAAAGATGAGTTATAGTTCCTTGCATCTAATGAAAACTCATTTTAGTTTGCATGATTTTCCTGTCGAGAGGTTAAAACAATATTCAAATCAAAGTTGTTGTTTTGTAACACATAAAATTTGTTTCGTGCAACAAACCAATGTAAAATAAAAATAACATGTTCTTGAAACTATTTCGCATGTATTTGTTTGTTTGTAACAAAATATGATTTGATTTGAACATATTTTATTGTATATACTTTACAATTGGGATTGGGCAAAAGTTCAAAAAACTGATTACGCCCTCTCCCTACATATACATTATACCAAACATATTTACACACACGGGTTTTAGCTTAAAATGAAATAACACAGAAAAACATAGTCTCCCCAGAGTAAAGTGTGAGTATCGACAGTGTGTAATTTACCCATTCGCAAAAATTTGTCAAAAAATTCTTTCCTGGCTTCTGTATATTTTTTGCATGAGAAGAAATAATGATGAGTATCCTCTACCTCTTCCACAAGAACATAGTGGACTCAAGATTACATTACATCGAAAAAGATCGCTATTAAGCGCGCAGTTATGTCTAAGCCTCGTGTGAATTATATTTAAGCGTCGAGTTCCATAACTAAAGTAAGAGGGTGGCATTTGTTTATTGTAAGAAATAGAGTTTATAAAAATAGATAACGAGGAAGAATTTCTTACATTAAGAGGTAATGAGTTCCATTCTTCAATAACAAGGGGAACGAAAGTTGACTTGTAAGCTTGCAATCTACATTTGGGATATTATAATTCTGCGAGTTTCTCGTACTGTAACTTGATGAATTACATCGTAAGTTTGGGATTATATCAGTTAGATATTCAGAAACTTGGTTTTATCAATATTATACATTGTAGTTAGTCTAGTCTTTTTCCTTCTTTCATGTAATAGTTCCCATCCAGTTTCAAAGTAAAGTGCATCTTTAGAAGCTAACAGAGTTAAGCCTGTGACAATTCTAGCAGCACATAGTTGTAATTTTTCTAATTTTTCGCTGTCACCTACATTACATCCACCCCACATCAAGGAAGCGTATTCTAACTGTGGCCTAATCAAGGTTGTGTACATGAGTGAAAGAGTTTTTCGGTTGACTACAAATTTAAGTTTTTTTAACAAGCCCAATTTTTATATACATTAGATAGAATAGTATCTATATGTGTAGACCAACTAAGATCTTGTGAGAAAAAAATCCCTAGATGTTTATGAGAAGAAACAAATTCTAGCTGACTTTGCTGGAAGAAGAGTTTAGGATAAATAACACCTTTTCTCAGGCTAAAAAATATTGCTTTAGTTTTAGAAGGATTGAATTTAAGAAGCCATTTTTTCGACCAAATTTCTAGCTTGTTAAGATCAAAATTCAGTTTGTTTTCAATAGTATTAACATTATAAGATGACTGTTGTAGGGAGTTATTATCTGCAAATAATCTACAAAAACTTGTCATTTCTTCAGCAACATCATTAACATATATAAGAAATAATAGAGGTCCTAACACTGAGCCTTGAGGGACACCCGCATGTATAGGTTGTTCGTCAGATAGAAAGTTTCTGTATAAAACTCTTTGTGATCTACCTTCTATGTAACTCTTTAACCAAAGAAACATATTTCCCTCTATACCATAAGTTCTGAGTTTGAAAAAAAGATCCTTATGATTTGATATGATTTGTAGGAAAATAATTTAGGTCCTCTGAAAATACGTATACATCTTTGACTAGTTTAGTTCTTTTCCTATCCAAAAGTCCCCTTATGATTGAAATGCAAAACAATAAATCCGATTAAGGTAACAAAGGAGTAATGTCTACATATGGGTATGCTTAGATACAAGTATCAGCTACAAGTTTCCAGCAATATATGAGAACTTATAAAACTCGCTTTTTATCATTAATACCTATGTGATTAATTAATCTAACAGTGGGCAGATAAACTCAGTAATTTTTAAACACGTCACATTTCAACCATTGTACGAGAGGGTTGGTTGCTGATCGACTCAATATTATTTATTGCGCAATACCTTGACGATAAGTACATTAACATCCAATGAAAATGTAACTGGAAGAGCTCCGAGACGGACACAACCTGGTTCAGGGAACACCGGAAGTACTAGTATTCATGGAGGAATACACATGAAGGAAACAAGATATGTCTGCAGAAACAACAAAAAGAAAGGCAAATTGAGAGAACAGGATATGTCTGCAGCAGCATTACCAGAGGAAGGCTAACGGAAGGAAAAGGGTATGTCTGCAGCAACATCACCAGAGGAAGACCAATGGACAGAAAAGGGTATGTCTGCAGCAACATCACCAGGGCAAAGTCAATGGAGAGAATAGGGTATTCTTAATAATCATGACTGAAGGAAGGCCAAGGGAAGTATATTAGAACTATATGTGGACTTTCAAACCAATGTATTATTTTTTCCAACCTCACCAAAAGGGGAAAGCTTTTCAAAAGAGGGAATCTACAATTTTCCACAGAAAAATCCTACCTATAAAGGAAGGCATATGGAGGGAAAAAGTATTCTGAAATACTAGAAAATTTTCCAAAGCACTGTAAAATGATGTATTTTGGCAAAAAGGTAAAACAGTTGATAGTATGTCATTAAAGACTTTTAATCACTGGAGAAAGGTCATTTTTCATCAAAATTATACATTTTTGCATGTAATAGTATCATTTTACTAGGAAGGTGATTAAGCAGAAATATTAAAACTCCATTATTAATCATTCCATGTGCTGATACTTCCTGATGATTATTAATTGAAAGGAACTTTGAAAGGAACTCTTAAAATTCATATCTTCCAACTAATCCCATACTCAAGAGAATGCTCCGACTAAGATCAATTTTTAGACCGGAGTAGGCTAGTGAGAGATAAGTTGATATTAAAGGGATTCTAACATTATCTTTTAATGTTGACATTTTGTAAAATATGTGGTCTTCAATGACCTTATTAGCAAATATAACCTTTCATTGGGTCGATTTTGGCTAACTTGTTACATATCAATTGTGAGCATTTGTTTTTAGACTGAATTACGTTATGTTCCTGATAAAATCGAAGAGCTCACGGCGGTTGTGACCGGGTCAACAAGGGATGATTACTCCCCCTAACTATCTCTAAAATTTCCTGGGGTCCGTGATTTTGGTCCTCATCACAGATTTCTTTTGTTTATAAATTTATTTTTTTATAGCAATCTTCACCTTTTACCTTGATTGATTTTATGTTGTTAAACGTCCTATTCGAGAATTTTACGGAGTACATCGTAGATCCTTACGTCGGGGATGAAATCTCACCCCGGGACATGGAGACCGCGGTCCTTCAGATGAAGTCTCATAAATCGAGGTCCCTTGCCACAGTGTTGTAGGTGAGAAAAAAAGATTACCCATGCAGAGCGCAGAGTATAGAGCTAAGTTTGCAGACCTCCACTGGCAAGTGGTGGCATTTCAATATGAGTGGGAAATTCTCGAAAGGGGTGCTTAAAAACAAACAAAACTTGACACATGCATTCCTGACATATGTCAAGAGGACCTAGTCACTGTAAATTAAGTTTCAAATTTTAAAGTTCGGTCGCCTTATCTGTAAGCTTATCAACGGTTTTGTGAAGACAGATATACAGGTAATTTAACTGATTTGCCAAAATAATGCCAGGGGTACCCTGATTAAATAAACTGAAAGCTTCAATTCTGGAGCTTAAAAATGCTTTCAATTTATAAGAATATGATCTACTTTGAAAGCACTCAATTTATAACATAATTATTATGAAGATAGCATCCAACAAATTATGAATATTACGAAGTTCAAAGTTAAAAAGAAACGGAAAAAAAGAAAAGACGCAAAAAAGGTATTCTGATACATATATTCTTGTGCGATGCCCGGGGTCATTCATAATCGCAAAAATTGCAATTTTAAGCTGAATAATTAGGTAGCTCTTTGTTTATTGGATAGTGGAATGTTTGAGGAAATGCAGCATACTACGATCTTTGCTAGTTAAGGGTGTCGATCCGCTCCTCTTTTCTTTTTAAGAGCGGTATCTTTAAAACTGGATAGCGAAAACAAGGTTGAGTTAACATTTTGAACTTCAAACGAAAAGGGTGGAGCACAGACACCTTATTAAATTACTTATGTTACTTATTTTTCTTTTAATATAAAAGATATACCCCCTACCTACTGAATAAACAATTAACGTACCCCGTACCTTGTAATAAACAATATACCCCCCTACCTAATAATAAACAAGGTTTATTATAAATTTAGAAGGGGTATATTTTTTTTATTTAAAAAAAAAGGAACGTCAGATGCTGTACGGCCGGGGCGGAGATGTTCAAAGTGGGGCAAGATTTCTCTTCACAATTTTTTTTACGGTTCTAACATTAAGCATGTTTAGTTTCAGAGATGCGGAAACAATTTAATAATTTTAAAAATACACATAAACATATGATAAATGAAACAAAATGAATAAAAATACCAATTGAAAATAGTATTTTAAAAATGTAACGTGCATCAAATTAATTATACGGAATCAACCTAATTTATTTTTTAGCAGTGACACCTTAATGTCTCTGAGTGCAGGGTACATATACATTCATTCAAAGGTACATGTATTTATTTACTGCTTTAGTCTTTAGATGGGGGCGTGACGGTGTACCTGTGTACGTGTTAAAGTCTGGCCCAGGGTGACTTTATGGGACGCGGTACTCTGAAATATTTTAAGGCATTTAAACTCAATACCCGAAAAGATAAGTGAAGTCACTTGACACTTTATTTCAGTGGTTAAAGGTAAAATATCTGTATGTAAATGGCATTATCTTATTCAAAGGGAAAATACAGGAAACAAATATTTGACAAACCTCAGTTTAATATAATCAACAATGCAACATTAGATAGCGACTCTTCGACAGTTAAGCGCCGATCAGTTCCGAAGTGATCAATCGTGCGTCAGGTGTATGTGTCCTATATATAATCTATTGTGACACAGTTCCAGCTTTAGCTTCGCGATCGCCATGATGCTGTTGCCGAAGCTAAGATGAAGCATCTTTGGCTTGTCAGCATTCTTCTGAAGTTATGCTTAATTCTTTGGGATTTACAGGCATGTGCTTGTTACAGATATAACTTCGAGCGATGTCGGAACTGCACAACGAGGGTAAGGGATCAGTTCATTGTCAACCATAGATAAACACTAATGTAAACAGGGCAGTGATTTGACACGTGTGCTCTTCATTCATTAATTTATTTGTTTAATTTCTGTTGGATAATAAATTTGTTTACCGTTTATTAAAATTAAATCAATGATGTCTGTACACCCTGTACAAGGGACCCCTACATTTTTTTTGATGGAAAAGGTAGAGTGGGATACTGGCATAAAATTCCTAAAAAAAAAAGGGGGGGTGTCTCTGTCAAAATTAAAGATATTTAATTTTAAATTTCCTTCCCATTAATTTTATAGTACTAAGTAAAATAGTTGGTTTTCTTATTTTTGGGGATTTGATGTGTATCTTGATTTCATTGGAACAATTTATAATCATATGATTTATAAATGTTAGAAAAAAAAATATTTTAAAAGTATTATTTTTTGAAAATGTCTTGTTATTTCTCCAGAGTCTCTTGATAGTTATGGAGAGAGAGAGAGAGAGAGAGAGAGAGAGAGAGAGAGAGAGAGAGAGAGAGAGAGAGAGATCTTCAGAAAAATATCTAGCATTGCATGCAGGTAGTAATTAATCTACAGACTGATTGTAATTTTTTATTGCATATTCATTTATTAAGAGAAACCTAAAAAGGTGCCCAATGTATTGAAGAAAAACAAATGTTAATTACAAAAGTTAAAATATATTGAGCAGATAATTAATACAATCTATAGATTTATAACAAAAAATTACAGTTGACTGGAATTTGGATATAATATAAATACATGTACATCAATGACCTGACTCAAAAATTATGTCTCTACATTTTTTTCATGATTTTTAAGAATAGATGAAATGAGCGTTTTTCATAATAAATTTTGCAAATCTCAAAAAAAAAAAAAAAAAAAAAATATATGCATATGAACAAAAACAGAAATAAATGTAGGTACATGTATTCATGCATGTTAATTTTTTAAAATGCAATTTTCCATATGAAAATTCCATAAGTTGTTTTTGCAATATATAACACAGATTATTTCATAATGTCATATTAAATGAACGAAAAGATTTCATAACATCACAGCAGATCTCAACATAAAGCAGTCAGAATCTAAGATCAATAACAAAATCTTTACCTTATAAATTTTGCAACACAAATAAAAAACCTTAGTCATTTTATAAATTCTTTTCCATTTACCCTAAATATGTAATTTGAGGATTTTTTTCCCCCTCAATTATATGTCAATTCACTTATATAAGATAGGAAAAATTAAACTGAGCTTATATAATTTGACCAGGGGAAAGGGAGACATTTGACAACAGTGTTATTTCCTATTGATTTTTCTTGTAAATGGCAAGAAAACTGTTCATGTTAGAAGAGGAATGATATATTTTTCAGGTTTCTTCAGGCACATTTGATTAATATTTAGACAGAAGTGTTAATATAGGCATTAACCAACCCATCATCACCACGTAAACCATTTAAAAAAAAATATTAAACATCTGGTTTTTTTTTTTCTATTAAAGTTCATTTGCCTATGCAATAATGTTGCTTGGGTATGAAATTTCAACTTTTTAGCTCACCTGAGCTGAAATGAAAGCTCAAGTTAGCTTTTCTGATCACCCATCAATGTCCTGCAGCTGCATCCATGTCTGTCTGTTTGTTCCTCTGTAAACTAAATCCCATATTTTTTTTTTACTTCTACTCCATCTGAAGAACCACTTGACCAATTTTGTCCAAATTTGCCACAAGGCATCTTTGGGTGAAGGGAATTCAAGTTTACTGAAATGAGGGGTCACATTCTCTTAAAGGCAGAGAAAATAAGAAGAAATTGGTAAAAATTTGTTTCAAGTCACCTGTAGGAAACTTTCTTCTCAAGAACCATTTGGTCAGAATAGATGAAATATATAAATATGAAATGGTTATGTTAATTACAAAGAGTAGATTCAAGTTTGTTCAAATCATGTCCCCTAGGGATAGTACGGGGCTGATAGAAAAACTGAGGGGATCAAAGTTCTACATAGAAAGTTATGGCAAAATTTTGTTTTAATAGCCTTTCCTATAACGAATAACAAAGCCTAGACTATTAGTGATATTGATCATTGTTGATATGGAAGCATCCTTAGGTAGTACATCATATGTATTAAGTTCAAATTTGTTTAAATCATAGCCCCCTTCCACTCAGGATGGGACAATAATTTGAGGGGAGGGGGGTTGTTGAAGGAAATTAGGAATAAATATTTACTAGGGAATTTTTTTTTTAAATCCACATCTCAGGAACACAAATGTAATACATGTATTCATATAGAAGCACACTCAGGATTATGGCCCCATGGCTTTAACAGAATTGTCTTAGGTTTGATGTAGTTTTAGAACATGTAGTGACATAGAATTAAATCTAATGCATCCTGATCATCAAATGAGCATCATTCCACTAGGCTGCCACAAATGGTGGTGGTGGTGTCCAACATGAATAATTCGCTAAGAGGATCCATTAATTAGGCTCAGTAATGAAACAAAAACACCTACATCAGTGACGTATCATCATGGTCATATTTTGTTGCCAACCTGATAATTAAATTATTGACTTTTTTCTCTACAAGAGACAAATAAACACACACGTGGTCATTTGGCCTTTTACTTTAAGGTGCATTAATGTAAATCATCTGCACCCTTACCAAACTGATATGTTTGTTGCAGGCCTGCAGAAAGTCTGCTGCAGCTTGCAGCAAACAAAATTGTTTGCAGGAAGAAAATTTTCCTGTTGGCACATGATTGCCACTAGCTGCGATCTTGCGGCAAACATTGCAGAATGTCCCACATCAATTATCATAATTATTTTCACAAGTTTTCAAATAAATTAGTAACTGTAATATTTAATTATGAACTTATGTGTATAAAGTTCTTAATTTTCTGTACATATAAGTAAAAAAGCTATAATGCACTTTAATTAAGAAAAGTATGGAAACATTGTCTGTGAACATAAAGAGAGTCTATCAACACTAAATAAACTTGCATAATTTCAGACGTGGCAGATTTTCTCTAAATTTAACATATTAAGGTCAGGACAAAAGCTTTCTGTGAACAAAAATGCTGCTTGTAGCCTGTGAAAAACCATAAGGAAATTTTTTGCTGCAAGTTAACAGCAATGTTTGCCGCATTAGCTAATGCAGCAAGGTTTCATATATGGAAAATCCATTGTGCAGACTTGCAGCAAAACTCATTTGCATGGTAAAATGTTTGCTGCAAGCTTGCTGCATACTTGCAGCAAACAACAAGGCTTTGTATAGACTGTCATGCTTTCTTTAGCTACATTGCCTCAAGCTTGCAGCAGCTGCTGCAAGTTTGCAACAATGTTTGCTGCAGACTTGCAGCAAAATGTTTGCTGCAGACTTGCAGCAAATATTTGCAGGAAGGTAATATTTTTGGTAAGGGTGTATATCATGGTACATTATGTATGATAGTCCTAAGAAAAATGTTGTTATACTGATTGATATGTACATGTACAAAGTTTTTCACACTGTATGATCTTTTCTTTCTTCAACAAATTAAAATCAACGGAGCAATTTTTTTTCATTGTTACACATTAACAAATTTTGAAATATGATAGGGATATGGGCTACATATATTTCCATAACAATATGTTACAGTTTAAGTTGGCTTCACCTTGATTTTTGGCAAAGCCATTCAAGATATTCAATTTGAAGTAATTCATATGTTTACAAGTGACTAAAAAACTGTTTTGTCAGATTGTTTTATTAGGTCTGGTTACTTGTTTTGGCATTTTTTTTCATCAGGGAACAAAATTAGTTTGCCCGTCAAGTAGAAATTTTAGATGAAATTGGGATGAATGCTCTTTGTGGAAGGTTGTTCCATTCACAGCCGGTCATTACGAGTTTAAGTGGGGGGTTGTTTTACTCTGAAGGACACCCCCTGAAAAGATTGTTTGGACTATTGGAGAGGATGAATGTTCCTGAATATTTAGTAGTTCTGGGGCCTTCTTTTACAAAGAACTCTAAAAGACCAAGACCAAACTTTAATATTCTGCATATAATTTTTCTAATTAAAATTAAATTGAAAATGGTTTTCATTTTTTAAAAGGAATGTTGTAAGATATGTTTGCGCTAGAATTTTAAACAGAATCATTAATTATAATATTCATTTTGCAAAGTTTTAACTTAAGTTTTTGGTCATGGTCTTAAGTCCTTTTGTAAATTAAACTAGCCCCTGTCATATGTCGATCTGTCCAATTATTAATTAGCTTTTAAAAGTTAAATTAAACTTGAAACTTAAATGCATGCATATTCAAGTAAATAAAGACATTCAGATTTGAAATAAAATGTGATATGCATGTATGGCAAGTGTCATGCAGAGATAATAAAAGGACTTCATAATCTTTTTACTATTGATCATGTTGATATTTTAACAAAATTTTTTTTTTCTGATTTCGAGGGCTGATGCAGAAATCTAAAATATAGACACCCACCAGAATATAAAGTAGAAATGTGAAACAAGCTGTATAAAAATGTAATAAATAGGTTGATATACATCCATGTTACTTAAAAAATCTTAGTATAATTTGAACTGCATCAAGTTGTGTACATATATGATTTGATCATGGGACAAAGTGCATTAATTTAAAATTGCATTCCTTGGGGATTATAAAACAATATTTTGTATGCATAATAATTGTTCTCATGTATGGCATGAGCATCTAGTGACAAAATTTTAATCATAGTTAAAGTTGTGCCTGAAAAATATACTTGCATATCATAATTATGTAATGAAAAATATCAAGAAGTTGTTGCCTTTTCTAGCTCGCCTGAGCTGAAGGCTCAAGTGAGCTTTTCTGATCACATTTTGTCCCTCAATTCGTCCGTCTAGCTGTCCATCTGTCTGTAAACTTTTCAAATTTTTGACTTCTTTTCAAGAACCAGTAAGCCAGTTTTAACCAAACTTGGTACAAAGAATTACTGGATGAAGGGGAGTTAAATTGTTAAAGGGAAAGGCCAAGTTTTCTCACAAGGGGAGATAATCAAGAAAAAACAAAAAAAGGATGGGGTCATAAAAAAAATCTTCTTCTCAAGAACAACTGGGCTGAAACTTATGTGGAAGCATCCTGGGGTAGTGTAAATTCTAAATTGTTCAAACCATTACCCCCGGGGTAGGGTGGGCCGCAGTATGGAATCCAAGTTTTACATTGAAATATCTTCTTTTCAAGAACCACTAGGCCAGAAAAACTTAAAATTCAATGTGGAATCATCCTGGGGTAGTTTAGATTCCAAATTGTCCAAATCAAGACCCTTTGGTGTAGGGTGGGATTACAACAGGTATTATAAGGGGGGGGACCTGGTAGAGAATAGCATGGCCAAATTTACTCAGGTGAGCAATGTGGCCCATGTGCCTCTTGTACTGAATATTTTCATATTGATGACTCAAGACACTATGATGACACAATTCTTTCATTTTTCGGATAATTTATATGTACATGTATAGTACATGACAGTTTAGGATCACTGCCCTAGCTGTCCAAGCATTAACGATGCATGAGTTCCTATGAAAAATAAATTGGAACTGTTTTTTTTTTGCCAGACATACATTGTAGAGATCTGAGATAATTTAGCAAGTGCTGCAGAAGAGTTTAGGCTCCTTCTAAAGAAAACTATTGATTTTTGCCAAAGGTCTCCTGAAAGATGATCTACCTGCCTAGCATAGATGGCTTCTGTACTTAGCAGCAGTCCTTTTGCAAAAAAAAAAATTAATTACAGAGGAGACTGAAGGTTGAGCAGAGTAGGGGAGACACAGAAAAGGGGGGGGGAGGGAGAGAGAGGAAAGGGCAGATTGGGAGAAAGAGTAGGGGGTGAGGGAAAGGGTCATAAAGGACCTCACTGTCCATTTGCAATATTTTCTTTCTCAAGAATGAAACAAGGCAAGTCGGGTCATATAACGGCATGTTTTATGCAAGCATTCATATATACTTTCAAAATATTCATCTTTGCAGACAGTTTTGTGATAGAAAGGCAGGTTTCATTAAAGTATCAGATTTTGAAACTTGTATGCTTTCTTTCATTTGACACTCATAAAAGGATCGATGTTTGTGACATATGTGTCAATTAAGATACGTGTACAATGATTTAAAAATTATGCTTCTGATCAATTACTGCACCTAATGAAGAAAGATTAAAGGGAATGCATGTAATGCCTCTGCAGCATTGACACTGCATGGCTGGTTAATTCAGGCAAACTGAATAAGCTATCTCATTGAGCAGAAAACCTCTGTGGTATTTGAATTCAACTGATAAAAGAATCCACTTATAGAGAAGTCAAATTAAAATAGGGCATTTAAAAGGGCAAATTAAAATAGGTCCCTTCATTGTTTCATTGTCTTTTTTCCTGAGATTGAAATTGGGTATTAAATGATCAAACCTAAAAAATGCTTCCCTCTGGAATTAAAAAGGAAAAATATTGCATGAAAGGAAAATGTTGGTCTATATTTGCCTTGAAAAGGGCATGAGGTGATACTGTATACAGGAAAATTTTTGCCCACGTTTTATTTTCGCCCCTTTCGCCCTCTTCCTGATTGGGCGAATTTAAAACGGTGCGAATACAAATTACACAGCATAATTTCTTAATCAAATCTATGACTGGGCGAAATTGGGTATTAAATGATCAAACCTAAAAAATGCTTCTCTCTGGAATTAAAAAGGAAAAATTGCAGGAAAGGAAAATGTTGGTCTAATTTGCCTTGAAAAGGGCATGAGGTGATACTGTATACAGGAAAATTTTCGCCCCCGTTTTATTTTCGCCCCTTTCGCCCTCTTCCTGATTGGGCGAATTTAAAATGGTGCGAATACAAATTACACAGCATAATTTCTTAATCAAATCTATGACTGGACGAATTTAAAACGGGGCTAAATTGTTCGCAAGTGCAAAAGGGCGTAAATAACATGGGGCGAAAATAACCCTGTATACAGTAATAGTTTTGTGCATTTGTAATCAAGATTATAAGGCATATAGCCTATTAGGTTAAAGTTGTCCATCTGTCTGTATTTCTCTACAAAAACTTTCACCTTGACCATATTACTTCTGAAAGGTTGTAATGTAGTGCTACTGGACTTTTATTTTTCATGTGACTGACTATATTTCTTGTAAAAAGACCTAATTCTTTGCATATCAATTTATTTGACCTCTTGACCTTGGAGTTTGACTTTCTTTTGCAAAATTTTACCAAACATTAACCAAATTGAATGGGTAAAGTTAGGCCTTTCCTATTTCACTTATTTCTTGTCAAAACCATGATGACAGAACCATGCATGCTTACAGCAGTGTGATTTGCATTACCTGTAACTTAAATATTATATTTATGCGCCCTGATCGAAGATCTGAGGCGTATACCGTTTTTGTCCTGTCTGTCTGTTTGTCTGTTTGCAGACTTTAACCTTCGCCATAACTTTTGAACCATGAATGGTTGAGACTTCGTATTTGGTATGCATACTCCACTAATTAAGCTCTTTCAAATGACATCAAGGTCAATGACCTTATGACCTTGACTGTGACCTTTATGCTAAAAATAGTTTTTTTCTGCAAACTTTAACCTTCGCCATAAGTTTTGAAGCATAGAAGATAGACCTGGGGAGACTTCATATTTGGTATGCATACACCACTGATTAAGGTCATTTAAATGACACCATGATCAATGACCTTGTGACCTTTATTGTGACCTATATACGCTAAATATAACTTTTTTGTCTGCAAAGTTTAATCTTTGCCTTAGTTTTTGAACGAAGAAGGATAGAGACTTAATATTTGGCATGCACACTCCACTAGTTAAGTCCTTTCACATGACACCAAGGTCAGTGACCTGGTGACCTTGACTGTGTCCTGTATGCTAAGAATAGCTTTTTTGAACCTTCACCATAACTTTTGAACCATAAGAGATTATAAGAGACTTCATATTTGGTATGCATACTTCACTAATCAAGTTCTTTCAAATGACGCAAAGATCAATGACCTTCTGACCTTGACTATAATCTATATGCTAAAAATATTTCTTTAAACTTTGTTGCCGCCGGGCGCAAAGTCCCCTTTGTAACCCTTATGTGTCCAGTGGCAAGGAGCCATAAAAAAGAAAAATTAATGTTCACAAACACATCTTGTTTTAATGTAGCAATATTCACAGACATAATTTTATGTGTATAATGAAGAAAAATTCTTTCTTCTCTGCACATTACTATACAGTAAACTGATGCTTATGATGAATTGATGCTTATACAGCAATGTGATTTTCATTCCTCATGACTTTATTAAATATTCTAAACCAGTGATGGAAATTATTTTATTTATTTATACAAATTTTATTCACATAAGTGAATGGGATTGGGCAGCAGGCAAAGCCTATTTTAGCCCTCTCCCTTATGGATATATAATGAAATATGCTTATAACAAAGCAAAATCTCCTTCCCTGACACTTCATTTTAACCATGTTTTACTGTATTTTAAAAGCATATTTTTAATTGTACTGTATGTAAGTCTTTGAATCAGATTTTTATTTTATATAAACTTGCTGTTTTCTTCCTGTTACTAAAATTATTAAAGGATCGAGTTTCTTAAAAAACTGTTTTTTCCCTTTATCATGTTTATATAAATTTAAGGGAATTAATCTCCCCTTGAATGATTTTATTAAAAAACTTATGGTTTCTTAGCAGAAGGGGGAGTCTTTGAATGATTTTATTTTAAACTCATTTTTGTGCAGAAGGGGGATTATCTTTTTAGTCTTTTATCACGAATTCATCATTTCTTTGCAGAAGGATGTCATGTGTCACATACAGCAGATGCCACCGACCTGTTTCCCTGGATACGACAGAGATATCTGTAAGTATTAACATTTCTCACTGGTTAATTTCAGGGCTTATCTCAGCATGCAAGGCCGGGCTTATAGGTTTGAAATTGGAATTTTTTGTGGTGACAATCTAATCATGAGAATGATACTGATGTTTCTGCATTTAGATACAGTTAGAGAGAGATGATTGAGCTGCAGTGAACACTTTTGAATATTATGTACTTGTGTTATGATTGGCTAATGTCAGAACCATGCATGCATTGTAAATGTCTACCCACATAATTCTTTGTTTTGTAAGTCTTCTCTAAAGAAATTCTTTTATTTCTATCAACAACAGAAATTATAGCAGTTATAAGTGCCCAACATCCATTAGAGTGAACATTGATAAAAGGAACATCTGGGATGCCTTAAGATTTTGAGGCCATTCATGTCAAGTTCAATGTCAATTTTTTTAAAGGTGCTCTTTCAAAATTTCACTATATACTAAATTAAATTTATCATTCTTTGCATACAATAAATTGAGCACCTTTACTTTTTGAGGCTTGAATTTGCTAAAAAAAAATCACATACTAGATTGATACATATTCAGAAGTGGAGCCTTGAATGAAATTCTCATTGTCATGTACTTGCATATGTGCAACAATTAATGCATTAGAATCAATGCACTAGTCAATAGTCATTGTTGCTAGTGGGTTGTCACTTTGTGCTTTGCGTAGCATATTGTACCTAAAATGCGCTGTTTCGATCACTTTCATCAGGACTCCAATACATTAATTCAGATATATATGCAAATTTTCAGAATGTTTTCCCTAGCTTCTATATGTTTTATCTGAGTTCAATAAGTATGACTGGATTCCATCAAAATTTTGCCATTATAATCCCATCAATATACATGTTTATTAAAGTGAAATATAAAAAAAATGTTTCAAGTCTAGGTACTACCTTTCTTTTCTTTTAATTATTGTAATTTAATTGTTAGTATAGCCAATAGAGCTACAGTCTCAACAGAGACAAGTGTTGAGGTTTTTTTTCTCATAAAAAAGTAATTGAGTCACTCTCGGAGTGAGTACCTTGACTTTAAGGAGTTTGGTGACATCTTGTAGGGTAAAGATCATTAGATGAACTTGAAGAATTGCATCTCATTTCATCGGAAAATTGATCTGTTTTTCACATAATTGTCAACTGGACATCATTCAATGCTTCAGATCTAATTACTGTAATTTCATTCCCGTTCTCATGCAGTCTTGAGTTTTATTGACCATACTTAAGGATCGGGAAACTAACTTAGAAGTAGCAAGTGAAAGGAATAATATTTCCCATTCTGAACTATTATTTTTCTTATTTGTAAGAAGTACGAATGATAGTATTGTTCTCCCGCCTACCTCTAAGTCATTTCTCAAAAGTTAACATATGGGAATGATTTTCAAAATTTTTATAGATATTCAGTATATGAATTTTCATAAAACGTTACTTATTTGGGATACCAAAGAGAGATAACTATAATTTTGGTTAAACTTGTGTTTTTCACTATAGAAATAACGGAAAATGGAAAATATTTTTAAAACATGTTTCATGGAGGGGAACATATGGTTATAGACAAAAAACGACAAAAATGCTGATTTTTCACCAATTTAAAGCTATTTACAACTAAATAATTGTATTTTATTAATTTATATATGTTTTATTTATTTGCGTAAAACATAAGAAAAGATATGAAAAACATTTTATCATATTTAAGACCATTTCAAAAGATGGTGATTATTGAAAGTTCGATTTCACTAGAAAATATCGTCTACCCCCCTTTTTTCAAGAGCTGGAATTGATGATAATTTACTGTCTAGCGCTGGAATTAAAATGATTAATCAATTACCATAGAACTGTTCTTTGTATTAAACAAAGATTTCATGGCCAAACTGCCATTAATATTGAATTTAATGGGTGCAAAATGTAGGCGGGAATCAAGAGTTAATGTTCGTAGTTCTTTATACTGATACTATATACTGTACTCGTAGATGTACACTATTGCGGCTTAAAGTTCTAATAAAAGATATAGCATTTACGTAACAATAAGTTCTGACAAGTTAATACATTTTTTTTTCGCTTCTGAAGTGTAAATATATTACTTAATCGTCTTTCAATTTCATCATGTTTATAAGATACATGTTTTCCATAGTCTCTGCAATTTAAAAAAGGTATAAGTTTGATCAGCTAGCGCATAGCAGAAAAAAAATATTGTTGCAGTAAAATATAGGGATGGGTATTGCCAAAAATTTCTTATCACAAAATATATCATGATTTTTCCCCCCAAGATATCAAAATAATATCACATTATATTACGGTCATCTTAAAATTGCTCTAGCTTCCTTTGAGTTATTTATAGAACATGTAGAAGCAAAAAAATCTGATTTAATATTGTACAATTATTTAAATGGTTCTTTCAATCAAATTAATAATAAAATCAATGTCAAAATGTTGTCATGTTTACATATTTGGACTTTTGTTTATAGGGAAGGATGAACGAAAATGGCCAGGGGCAGCTCGGGACATGAGGGTGTCTGTGGACCGCCAGGAAAACGGAAACCTGATGGTCGCCAACTTCAAGTGGAAACCTCCATATGACTGTACGTAAAAATAATTAATGCTAAACAATAAGTTTTTTTAAAATCAGCTAGGAGATTTTTTTTACATTTTAATACTGTAATTAAACTACAGTAGACTTTATTTAACAAGAGTATTGCCTATCATGAAATGGCCCTTAAGACAATGAATTTAGCTAGAAATACTGAATAATTTGCCGGTGTATGGTTGATCTAGAGATTTTACATAGATTTTAGAACTGTAATATCGTTACAACAAAATAAAAGCAAGCAATTTTATTCTGCCACTAAATATTAGGGATGTCAAATCAGTCAATTTTTGATACTCGGTTACTGGACGTTTTTCCGATCGAGTACCCGGGTACTCGGTAAAAGTCTAAATAAATATGAACAAGTTAATTGATAACTGTAAAACATTGAAATAAAACCACATGGTCTGATGGGAGGTTTACCTGTAAATTAATCTGTTCCCTAATTGTAATGTAACTCTATCAATGCGTTTGACATCCAAGTGATAAGTCGTCAGAGCTACATGTACAGTATTAAATTGATCAAGTTCTAACAGCGCGGATTTACGATCTTCGTACACTTTTCGATCATTGATTTCATTAAAATTACGAGACGGTATATATGTTGTAGTTTGGTGCAACAATGGACATAAGATTTTTAAAACCTTTGCATTCAACCATTTGCATTAATTGACACGTAATCAAACACATCCATATCAACAATCGCTTGTGCAATATCGTCTGTCTCTTTCCCCGAGAATCTAAGGCTTCTGGAGAATTGACAAAATTATCTAATTTATTTAAACATATATATTAGACCTTAAATGATGTTCAATGAAAACAAATAATTAGAGCAAACTAAACATAAGGGTAGAAGACAGCAGAAGGTGAGAAAAGCCAGGTAGGTAGCAGGTGTTTGGTCATGGTAATTACTGTATAAACACTGCCACAGGCGATAACGGTCATTTAGAGGCTCAGAAAACCCTAATTACTGTATGTAAAAGTGCAATGAACATTTTATTTTTAAAACCGATATTTTAATGCATTAATAAATAAGCATAGAAATATTTAAAAATATACATCAGAGTAACCGAGTACCGATTTTAGTATTCGATACTCGGACGTTCGATCGAGTACCCGGTTAACCGGGTACTCGTTGACATCCCTACTAAATATATAATGCTTCTTGCAAAATTACACCATAATTAATTCCTCACATACTGTAGAAACACAAATTTTGTGTGTATCAAATTTCGTTAATATGTTCATAATCGAAGACAGTTTTGTGGGAATTAAAACATAAAATTTGTGAGGATCAAATTTCGTTAATAATTTGTTCATAATCAAAAACAGTTTTGTGGGCATTAAATTTCGTTGTTTGAAAAGTTAAACACCATTCAATATATATAGTCATATGAAAATTTCATGTGGGATTTAATTTCGTTGATAATTGTAAACCATGAAATAAACAAAATTTAATTCGCAATGGAATTTTCTGCTTTTACATTGTTTACAGTATATTTAGGATTCTACAGTACATGTACATGTAAAAAAAAAAAACAAACTGACTGTCTTAATCGAAAGGGCTGAAGGTTCTTTAATATTTTTATCACAATTTGGATTATTGTACGAATGACCTTGCGTTTTTTTTTTTATCTGTCATGTATTATGTTATAGTGGATGTTTGTCATTATTTAACTGAGGATTGTGTAGAGAAATTTACTTTTTATCTTTTTCTATAAGCTGCAGAGCAAGTTTCAATAAGCTTTTGGTACATTTTTTGAAAAAAAGGGAACTAACCTTAAAAACTGTAAAAACTTCAAAATCAAAACAAAACAATATAGACAAGGGAAAAGGGGTGGGGGGGGGGGGTATATGATCTAATAACTTTACCCTTTATTTGGGAAAACTTTCAATTTATCATATTATTTTCATTTAACTATGGTTGTAAATCAGTTTCCAAATATTTCTCTGACTGCTAGCTAGCTTGGTTATAAATAACAAAATTTATGGTCTGCACTTATAAAGATATGGTGTCATTGAACTCTTAGTGATAAAATATCATGATGCATTGAAAATATATTAAGGGAATATTTCAGTACTACTGGAATTTTTTTTTTATGGAATTATCATTAACCAATTTTTTATCGTGGCAGATGTGTATCTATTATAATAATACAATCATTTGGACCTTTTTTCAAGACCATCTGATATAGGTGATTTTGAGTTCAGATTTTATGTTGATCTGTAAATAATGTGATATTTATGGAAATAATAATTGTTTTGAATGATTGATTACACTTAATAGTGGAATTATTTCTCTCTTTATAAATATACATTAAGAGAGGGTAGCCTCAAGTTCAGTAGGGGAATTAAGACTGGTTAGATTAACATTTAATTAGATCTTTGACTCTGACCACTGCCCACTTAGTAACGGGATGTTATAATTTCAGGGTGCTTATAAATTATCTGAAAAATAATATTTGACCACAAATTTATTATGTCTGTATGAAATATAGAAAAATCATGTAATGTAGTTTTCATTTTAAGCTCTGTTAAGTTTAGTTTAAACATTAAATAGTGCATTTTCTTTGGTTGTCAGTAGTTTAAGAAATGAATTTAATTTTTGAAGATTCATGAGGTTATGAACTACGATGCTTTACGCCGGCACATTTCTTATATATACATTATTTTTCTGATGACTTGCCATAAATTTAGGCCGTTCAATTGTCATTTTTAAAACAAAACAGTGTGCACTATATTTTTGACAACAAGAGCGGTATTATGACGCAACAATGGAGATATTCATGCTCATTCGTGGTACTTGCCTAATGTAGTTCATGAGAAAATGAACAGCATTTTTTTGTAAAGAATCTTAGGGGAAATTTATTGGAAATGTAAATATATGGAAATAAACATCGCAGCTGTTGCAGAATTTTTTTTGCAATATAGCTTGGAAGTTTATTCCCGTACTAACAACCAAAGAAAGACATTGTATTGTTTATATTTATATCTGTATAATAAATAATTATTTAAAACAGGATTAAAAAGATTAATTAATATAATTGTATTATTGATATGTAATAGTATATTTCATTGCTGGAACAGCCACAGTGATCAAGATTTATCTGTACAGGTGATATGTCTATAGTGTTGTTCGTGAACTGATACTTTTTTCTGTGTGGTATTAATAGATGACTTTCAAATTTACAAAAGTTACTCCCCTTTGTAGGGTCAATCCGGGGTCAACTGGCGTAAGGCACTGTTTTCCCTCTCTAACCTTACCAAGTTTAGGGATCAGTATCTTAGAAATAAATTCTGTATGAATATGTTCATTATTTTTTTCACGTTGCCCCATACTCTGGAAATACATTTAATACATTTAATTAGATCTTTGACTCTGACCACTGCCCACTTAGTAACAGGATATTATACATTTATTGCATGATAGTGAGGGAAATATGAAGACTTATTCAGCCAAAAAAATCATATTCCCCGAGGGCTTCGCCCGAGGGGAATATGATATTTCTTGGATGAATAAGTCTTGAATGTTTCCCGAACATTCATGCAATGAATTGTTTATTATACCGAAACAAGCAAAACCTTTGAAATAAACATAAACTTTTTCGGCACCGCTCTCAAAGTCATTTTCAATTTTTACGTAAAGTTACCATTCAACACATTGTCATCAGTTTTGTGACATAAACCAGGCTATTGTGACGTCTACTTCTCTCGGATGTTTTCGTTCAACGAACGAGAACTATATTGCGGGAAAATACACTAGGTGTTCCGAAGAGGTGGAATATGATGAAAAGCATGCCGACGGTCGGGAAATATGAAGGTTTACGGCCCGATCACGTGATAACTGAGAACCAATCAGATAATGCGTTGTTTAGAATATTTATAATGAGGTATAATAATATAATTTCAGGGTGCTTATAAATTATCTGTTTTAAGCTCTGTTAAGTTTAGTTTAAACATTAAATAGTGCATGTTCTTTGGTTGTCAGTGGTTTAAGAATTGAATTTAATTTTTGAAGATTCATGAGGTTATGAACTTTAAGGAAATCCATGTAAATACAGGTACAGATCAAAATTTTCCGATGACGTTTGAAGAATAAAAATATTAACAGGTAACTTACAAAGGACAAAGTGTGAAAAATGAGTGTTACGCCGACAATTGGAGATAACTCTTAGGAATGTGAAATTCATCTATTTACGCTTTGTACACGATCACAAATTTTCCATGAAAAGTTGTCCCTATTGTACTCAATGACGATACATGTATGGCAAATAGTGAGAATCTTAAGGAAATCCATGTAAATTTCTACGCGCGGATTAAAGGGAAGAAGAAATTCCGCTGAATTATGACCCTGTGGAAAAAAATATGTCTATACAGTAAATGGCAAAGGTTTTCTTTAAGAAAAGGAGAGGAGATATTCTGTGGATTTTAATATAATTTGATAAATAAAAATTGAAGTTTGTACCAGCATTTATTGCTTTTTAGGACCTTAAAGTTTTCCATCCAGCTAGGAGAAGAGATGTCGATTAAAAATCTGTTGTTACTCAGACTAAAAAAAAAAAAAAAAGAAAGAAAACTTTAAAGATTTACATTGAAAAATGTCTTGTATCATGTGTATGTTATTAACAAAAAAACCATAAAGGATATCAATGCACCAACACTAATGAATGGGAAAAGGAAAAAAATCTTTTAAGCCTGCTTAAATGGTGGTCTGCAATCCATTTTAGGAGCTCATTTGATTGTGGATAAGCCTTGTGCTTTGCAATGTTAATTGAGGCAGTGATGGATTTTAAGGAGTCTGTACAAATACTGGGGAGAGACACTACAAAGAATCCCTCTATCAGGTCTATTGATCAGGGTGTCTAATGAGTACAACAGGAAGTGTTGAATGACTGCTTTTAAAGAAATTTGGGTGATACGGCCTTAAACCTGCAGAATCCATTCTTCTAATCAATCAAGAGATAATGGAGAGTAAAGATGTTATTTTAAAAAACC